GGGCTGGCTGGGCCTCCCTCAGCAGGAGCCTGCATGCTGAGCCGCAGTCAGCCATGCAGAGGCCTGGGGATGGGATGTTCCAAACAGCAAGTGCAGAGACCCGGACGCAAGAAGCAGCTCTGAGGAGCGAGGCCCATGGGGGTGGGGACCGGATGGCATAGGTCCTTGTGGGCCACGGAGACATCATCGACAGTCCAGGAGGGTCCAACCTCAGGGCCTGAAGCAGGGGTGCGATGTGCCATTCTCTGATTCACATTTCCAGTGGGCCTGGTTTGCAGGGAGAGCGGAGGGGAGGAGGTGCCTGTAGGGGTCCAGGTGGGAGATGATGGGCCTCAGTCCCCAGAGGGAGGGAAGTAGATGCATGTGCAATATGCTTTGGGAGAAGAGCCAACAGAAAAAGAAAAAACAAAGTAACGGATAAAAAAAGTCCCTTCTCCGCCCCCATCCTGATGCTACGGGGATCCAGGGCACCCGAGGTACAGTTGGACACAGCTCCACCCCAGGTGAGGAGGTCCCAGGGAGCAGGGGTGCGGGGGCAGTGCCATGCCCCTGGGGACCGAGGCTCGTGGCGCCTGGGGACGCGCTAACAGGGTGCACTAGCGCTCTCTCCCTGACATGACATTTCCTAGTCCGCCCGCATCAGCCGAGGTCAGCCTGACCTCCTTCCTCCTTCTGCCAGCTGCTTCTAAGAACCAGCCAACGAGTCGGACACCATGCAAGGTCGTGAGTGAGCCCTCTGTTACTGGCGTCATTGGACATGTGTCCCTGCTCCCAACACCGGAGCTCCCCACTTTTTGTAAAGCAGACAGGAAACAAATGAGCAAAACAGCAACGCAGGACAAAACCCCTCTGGGATTCTGAGGCGGCCCTTCTCCTCCTTCTGTTGCCAGGATGCATCTTCTTTCTCCAGCAGGTCCCGGGCTGTGGGTAGTTGCTCCGCGGGACTGAGCTGTCCGATCCTTTTGAGCTGCATCGCCTGCTTTATAGAAGTTTCCAAAGTGTCCACAGCCCAGCCCCCCACCCCAGTCCCAGAGGAGCAGTGGCCCCTGAGAAAGGGAGGTGTGAGTGACAGAGAAGAGCCACCTCCCAGGCAAAGGGGGCAGGTGTCCTGGCAGAGGGCGGGCCGTGCGCACACACACAGGAGCTGGGAGAGACGGATACCTTGCACCTGGTGGGGTCGGAGGTCAGGCTCCCCCGGGGCTGAGTGTGGGGGGGTAGCCTGACCCCTGGGTCTCTGCACCAGAGCGTGGAGGTGGGCCCCTAGGTCCTCAGTCACGCTACCCTAGAGCACAGGCCACTCCGCATTGCCAGGCCCGTCTTCTGTCCGAGGGAAGCACCACCTTCTTCGTACGTGAGGATGACTCGAGATAATGATTCGAAGACTTTTAAGGCAGGGCCTGGCACACAGTAAATATCAGTAAATGTTAAAAGGGAACGATGATATTGTTGAACACAAAAGCAGTCGTTCAGCATCGTGGCTTAGCGTCCTCAGAACTGACGGCAGAGAAGGACTTGTGCCGGCCTGTCTGTCTCTCTCTCTCCCACTTTTTCCTTCAAGACTGTTCTCTGTTCCACGCGAGGAGGCTTTCTTGAGCTGGGTGTGAGGATGATTTCATTCACTTCTTGAGTATCTTCAAGTTGAGTATCTTCAACTGCCCACAAAGATTCCGTTATATTCCAGGAACACACCTTTTACTAATATCTCTCTGCTTTCTTTACAAAACAGCTTTTATCTACCATTGAAGTGTCTAAACCATAATGATGAATGGGGAAAGCAAATTAACATCAGATGAAAAGGCAGGGAAAGGTAGCCCCAATACAAGCATTTGATTTGCTTCTGGAGATGAGCCCCTTCCCAGGCTCACCTCCACACGTGGGAGAAGGAAGAGTCTACCACGCTCCACAAACATCTGTGGACCAATTACAGTCAACAGTTTACAGGTGTTGAGAGGGTAACATCACTCACATGCTACCCTCCCAAAAGGGTTTTCTTAATTTCTCTTAGAAACAAAAGCACACTTTTCTCTAGGGCTCTTTATCTAGTAGGCTGAGATCACAAATCCTCCTCCAGGTGGCAGGGAGCCCCCAGAGGCTGGGCAGAGCAGGGCTGGCTTGGGTCCTCCCTCAGGGCCCCTGCCTATGTCAGAGTTTGCCCAACTTCCTCATGCTGACTCCCAGGCTCTGCCCCCCAGAGGTCCAGACCCAGTAGATCCGAAGCAGGGCCCAGGAAGTAGCATTTTTATGAGCCCCCCCCCCCCCGCCCCCAGGAGCTGCTTATTACCTGTGGGATAAGCCAATCGTTCTCCAAGGCTGGCATTTACCCAGGAGGTTGTTAAGAGGCCAGCTCGTGGGCCGCATGCCCCGAAGCCCTATGTCAGCAGGCCTCAGGTGGAGCCCAGGAATCTGAATTTCTTGGGAGCCTCTCTAGGATTCTGAAGCAGAGGATCTGAGGACAGAGGTGGAGTGGAAGGCGAGTCCATTCACATGCAGATTCCTCTACTGTAGGTCTGGGGTGTGACCCAAGGTTCTGCATTTTAAACACACTCCCAAGGACTGACACTGCTGGTCTCGGGTCCCGCGTCAAGTGGCCTAGCTGCAAACCATCTTTTGCACTCCACGGCCATGCATTTTAGATCATATTTTTGCTTCCTCTCTAAATGCATCCTCACTGCTTCGTTCACAGCAAGCGTGATAAACCAATGCTCTCTACTGGACTTGCCTCAGTTACTGCAGTGCTTTGAAACCATATTCCTGAAAATGTGAGTTCCCTTAAGACCTCAGACACTGTGTACAAGGCTTCCTCCAGCAAATGAGTTTGGGAAGTGCTACCTGCCGGGCTCGCAGGGCCTGGGTGAGAGGCCGGCCCTGCAGGCTGAGCCCGGGGCTGCCATCTCCATAGGTCCCTTGGCCCCGCTGTGCGATGGGGATGCTAATTGAGCCCACTTATGGAGTGAGGACAACTCTGCGAGTTAATTTACCCAAAGCTCCTGCATCTCTGCCGGACTCAAGGCTGGATGTTCTCAGGATGCACAGACCCTGTTTGGAAGTCACGGTGCCCTTCCATAGGGTCAAGACTCAGCGGTCCGAGACAGGGAGACGTGTCATCTGGTGTTTGGGCCTCAGGACCCCTACCCAACGCCACCATTTTTGTTGTCCAAGTTGCCAGCCTGTTTGCACTCCAGGAGGTTACGGAGCACGGTAGAGCATGTGCTGACTTCTGGAGAGCATGCCCCAGGACCAGTTCGCATTATGCTCTGGCCTTCTGAAGACAAAGGCAGGTCTTGGCAATGGACACTTCAGAACTGCCTGTGTGAGCTCTCTAGGAAGTGATGAAGTACACTGAAGGAAGGGGGGTGGGGACAGCAGGGGTCTTTCAGCAGTGTGAGCTCATGGCTGAAGAATGCAATTCCCCCCAGCATGGATTTCGGGTGGACTTGTCCATGAAATCTCACTGTCTACGCAGGACCTCTGCACGTGTGAACATGATGAGGCCGGCACATTCGGCTGCGTAAAGCTGTAACCTTCTCACTCCCTTACCAGGTCAGGAATGTTCCGAGACGGAGGGCGGGGTGTGGCAGGCTGGAACAGATGTGTTGTACTGTTTACTAGCCCCACATGCTTGCTTACAGGATGAGAAATTGCACGAAACCTCATGGGTTTGCATGTAGATCTTACCCTGCTCCTCCTGGCTCATCTGATTACCTGAAGTCTAAAGCCCCAGGGGAGCTAACCAGCAGCCCACCCTGCCTAGGTGGGAGGGTCTGGTGGAGAGGGAAAGGCCTTTTTGCAGCTCTTGGGCTCCTGCCCAAGTTGATACTGACCCTGGAGCTCAACACTTGCACTCAATCCTCTCCCCCGTCCTTTGCAGGGCATTTCTCAAACCAGAACTAATGTATTCTGGACACAGAGCTCCTCCAAACCAAGACAAAGAAATTTCAAATATTTGAGCAAACAAAATCACTTTTCTTAAATCTCCAAGCCAGAAGGAAACGTGCAAAAAACATTTACTCACTTTCCAAGCTGTACATATTTTTCAATTGATGATCCCTTAAAGAAGTGTCCCCCCCCCCCCCCCCCCCCCGTTCAGAAATCACCCAAGCAGAGCAAATGGCGCCGGCCTGGCCAGCTGGCACTGACATTCCTAACAGCTCTTCTGTCGGAACATTTCTTCCTTTTCTTTCCCGGGGCCTCTAATTTCTTTCTTGGCTTCTCAGGTCTAACAGTGCGTTCTGATGCACAAACGGGAATTAGTCCCGTCCCCAGTCCTTAGGGGCACAAGGCAGCCGGGGCTCCGACTCTGAGCTCTGCACTGCGCTGGAGGGTCTGCAAAGTCTGCAGGCGGATCTACCGCCTCGCTCCGCTCTGCGCTTCTCTGATGGGCTGGTCTCTCAGGGCTGAGTCCTGACAGCCCAACGTGGGCGCAAGGCCTCCCAGGAGGTGGGCCGGGGCTGGGGGGAGTCAGTGCGAAGACACCCCAAACGTAGAGAACCCAAGGGGAGCGCCCTCCCACCGTGGGCCGGGCAGGAAGTTAGCCTAAGCAGAGCAGGGGCTCCCCCTCCAGAGCGGGCGCCCAGGGTATGCGTGGGGGGACCCCCAGCCTCCTTCAGTCCTCAGGTCCCCGCCTTCCCCTCCACCCCCCCCCAGTACAAGGAGTCGGGGCCCCTCGGCCCACCCGGGCTCCGACGCCCGGCCGCGCGGGGCGGGGGCACCAGGAGGAGGCGGCGGGCGCGGCGCGCCGGGCGCTGGCGCGGGCGCGGCGCGGGGGGCGCGGCGCCTTTAAGGCCCGCGTCAGGCCGAGCGAGCGCAGGGGCCGGGCTCGGGGCGGGGCCTCGGCGGGGCGGCCGCGCGGCTTCACCTGCAGTTCGGAGCGCGCGGAACAGAGGCGCGGGCGGCTGCGAGGCCGGCGGACGCACCGGCCCGAGGGAGCGCGCCGCCGGCCGACTTGGCCTGGCTCCCGGAGCCGGGCGGCGATCGCGGCGGCGCGGCCGGGCTGGAGGCGCGGGGCCCGATCGAGCGGCGGCGGCGGCCATCGGAGCTGCGCGAGCCGGGCGGCGGCGGCGGCGGCGGCGGCGGCCGGGAGCGGGCTCCGGGCTCCGGGCGCCGGGCGGGTGCCGGGGCGCGGCGCGGCGGGAAGATGACCGCGGGCTCCGGCGTGCTCCTCGTGCTGCTCTCGCTCTCCGGCGCGCTCCGGGTAAGTTGCCGCCTGGCGTCCCGGCCGCTCGGAAGCCCCGGGCACCGCGGGGCCGCCCCCGGAGCCGGGGGGCGCGCACTCGCCCGGAGGGGCTCTCCCGGGCGCCCCCGCCGCGAGCGCCGCTGCATCTAGAGGCTCCCGCGCTCCGCGCAGCCGCCCGCGGTCGACAGGAACGAGCGAGCCGCGGTGCGGAGCGGGGTGGCATGTGGGTGGCTGGCGGGCCCAGAGAGCTGTGCCCGCAGCGGGACCCGCCAAGCATCCCTTGGCCGCCCCAGGTCCGCGGCCGCTGCTCGGAGCTCGGCTCGCGCGCGTCTGGGCAGGCTGCCCGCTGGCGGAGCCGGCGCGCCCTCCATCGCCCGGGAGCCGCGAGCCTCCGGAGTTGGCGAGCCCAGCCCGGGCCGGGACTGCGGGCGGGGAAGCTGGCGACAGCAGGCAGGGCACCAGGGGTACCAGGGACACCCGGTCTGGCCGCCCTGCCCGAGGCCGAGGTCTCGCGGCGCGGCGCCGCCTCCGCGCTCGTCTTCCGGGTGCCGACAGGGACCTTGGCTGAGGCTGGGCGGCGGATGTGGACCGCGGGCACCCTCGCCGCCGAGTCCCCAGGCGCGGCTGGAGCCGGTGTCCGGCGGGGCCCTCGCCTCTGGCAGCGGGGCCGGGGAGCCAGGCGCCAGGCGGGCGCAGGGTGAGGCTGCCCGGGAGCGCGGCCCGGGCGCCCGCCTCCTTCCCGCCGAGCCCGCGAGCCCGGCCCCCAGACCGGTGTGCGCGGCGGGCGCAGGCCCCGGGGGCGGCGTGCGGGGCGGCGGCGGGGCCGCGGGAGCTGCAGGAACCCCCTCTCGTGGCCGATGGGCCTCGCTGCTCCTCAGGGCAGCGCAGTTGGAACCTGCGAGATAAACGAGTGCGGCGCCCCCAGGCCCGCTCCGAGGCTGCGGGGCGCTCCGGCTGCGCTCGCCGCACGCCCGGGCGGGGCGAAACTTTCCTGGGCGAGTTCGCCTCCGGGGCTCCGGTCCTCTGTGGAGCTCCGTTCCCGAGAAGTGGAGCTGCGGTTTGGAGCCTTCCCAAGGAATGAACCCGCGCCCCTCGCCCTCCCCATAGGGCTTTCGGGGGAGGGGGCCGGCGTCGGAGGGTGGGAGCCAAGGCCGGCCGGGCGGCGGCCCCGCGAAGGCACGACTGCGCGCGTGTGCGCCCCTGCCGCCGGTGTGCGCTGGCCGGGGAACGGGGCCGCTGAGCTCGCTCGTCCGGGCCCAGCGTCCCTGCTACGCGCGCAGTCTCTTCGACGGTTCCCCACCCTGCCTGCGAGGCTGACCTGGAGCTGCCACTCCCCACAGCCTGGCCTGGGCCCTTTGCCCGCCCCCAGCCCCTTCCGCTGGGACAGGCGGACGCCCACCCTTTCAGGTCAGGGTTAGAGATGGGGGGCTCCACGGGAGGACCAGCGTTCCTCCGGGTGGAGGTGGGAGGACTGGAGGGTGGAGCCCCGTCTTTGGGAAGCCTCCCTCCTTGCCCGGCGCTGAGCCTCTTCTGGGAGGACCTCCTTTCTTGCTCTGCCCCCTCCTCCCCCCCGGTGACCCACGGAGAAGACCTAAGCCTGCAGGCCCTCTGCGCCCAGAGCCCAGCTCCGGGGCACCAAGCGTGCCATGGCCGTCAGGCTGCCGCTGGCTGCACCTCCCTCCTCTCCGTGGCTTGGGATACTCCTCAGATATTGCCCTCTGTGGGGCCAGAGAGGCCCTCCCAGGCAGCAGCCTTGGCGTCAGCCGTCCCTCCTCCCCACCAAGCACCCCTGACCCCAGGCCAATCCAGCAGGGCCCCTTGTGGGCGCTGGGCTTGCGCCTGCGCCGCGCAGAAAGCGGAGGTACCTCCGCCTGGCGCACGGTCACAAGGTCAGGTGCACCCTCGCGCCGCGTCACCCGCCCGCGTCGCTCGCGTCACTTCATCCCATCCTCACCTGTCACGGGCGGGTGAGCACAGGACGAGAAGGTGTTTTCCGAGCCAGAGGCCACATTCACCCAACTTTGATCACCGACATCCTGATAGCTGTCCTGCGTCCTTCGCGGTTACCGACACTCCCTGGCTGTGCCCAGGTCACCACTGACCCTGGACCACGCGTGCGTGCGTGCGTGCGGAGGACAGCACACGGGGCGTGCAGACTGTGGCTCTGCCCTCGGCCTCGCGGTCCACGGGGTCTGGGGGGCTGCTGAACCAGGTGAGTCCATGAGAGCACAGAAGCAGAAGAGCATTGGTTTTGGGTGGAGACCGAGGCTTCTGCGTTCCTGTCATAGCCGGAGGCAAGACCCAGCCTGCAGCAGCCCCTAGTAAACATGGGCTTTGGATTAAATTTCTGTCAACTTCACATTTGTTCCAACCTCTTTTCTTTCTGTTCTCAGGCCCATAATGGGGATCTTACAGCCAGGGAGACCTGCAAGGCTGGATTCTCTGAAGAAGACTACACGGCATTAATCTCGGAAAATATTCTGGAAGGAGAGAGGCTACTCAAAGGTAGGGGGCTTGCGGGGTGGGAAGAAATTGCACATCATGCTCTGGACGGGGCGGGGAGACATTTCCAGGAACAGGCAAGGCGGGGCTGTCTTTGAGGCAGGCTCTTTGCAAAATGATGGCTCTGAGGTCAGTAAGATGGGGAATCTGGGGACCTGGAAGGCATTTTGCATCACAGGTGAATGATTCAGAATGCCTGTCATTTTTGAGTGAGGTGAATCATTTCCTGGGCAACAAATTAGAATTCGGATGTAACGTCACCCAAATAATGTGCAGGGAGAGACTTTCTTGCTAAGTATTTTTATGTATGAAATTCTGGATTCTTAAATTATCCCTGCTTTGAAATGCATGATAAAGCAGACGATGTTGTTGGAGATGCGGTAAATAAGCCCACAGACGTTCTGTTCACAAATGTGGCATTCATTTTCATTACAGCCGCACTGACAACACGAAAACACACATGCAGGAGGGAGCTACCAATTAGCTTTATCCTAATTGTAAGGTTATATCCACATTTGTGATGGGAACGTCAGAAGCAGCTTCAGAAGTCAAGTGACAGTAGATCATTCTGCATGTTGATCTGTTTCCCTTTCGAGACAAACTAATTAAACTTTCCATTTGCATGGGAGAGGAAATAAATCAGTTCTTCCTTCTGAGGATTCCAGATCCTATCACGAACACCACGGCTGTGCGCCTTCCCAGAAGTAGCAGCTTTTAGCTGATTTCAGAGGGATGGAGCAAACTTTGGATAAAGCTTCAGCACTAAATTTTAGCACTCACGACTCAATAATCCTCATACTGCTGACTTTCTCCCCAGTTTTGTGTTTTAGGGAATCTGGGATTTTCCCTTAAGAGCTGATAGCAGCTTCTTTGGGTGGGGCGGGGGTGGGAGCACAGACATATCGGGAGGTGATCTTTCAGATCCTCTTCCTTGGAGACTGAGCTTGTTGACTTACCTTGTTTGTGCCTGGTTGTATGAACCGGGGATTTTTACTTGGTACTAAGTCCAACCCTTACTTGTTTGTCTGCATTGACTGCTAAGGGTATGATACAATTGAATCTTCCATTGATTACCAAAAAAATAAAAATGAAATTCCCAGCAGTTGACCAGAAGCAGAATGGGTGTGTTGCATGAGGAGGCATATACTGGTAAGAGTTTTCAGGAGATGCTCCGTGAATTGCACTGTGCATGTCATTTTAGAGTTCGAGAGGGTGGACCATCTTTCGGGATGTGTCAGCCTCCTGAGCATCCCTGTGTGTGCTCAGGGAAGGCCCAGAAGATTCTTCCACACTGGGTGTGTTGTACTGTTGCATATAGCGGGGGACACTCTGCGGTACCCCCGTTTGCTTCTCTGGAAACTGGCATCCTGGGCCTCTCTGAGTATGGACCTGCACTTGAGAACATCTTGGAGTCTCAGTTTTACTCAGGAATGTAAGAAAAGTACCTCTATTTTAGTAAGGCCAAGTGCTACCTACTGTGGAAGAGAATGGCAGATTTTCATACCTTTTTTGATGAAATGTGGGATTTCTAACAGGCATCTGGTCTCCCTCCTGACTGCTTTGTGGGTCCAGGCTGAACTGGCCTCTCTGCTTTTGGTCAGTGTTGTGGGGAAGTCTTGATCACTGGCTGGACGTTGGCCTGCCCCCTGAGCCCAGACGTGGTTCACCCAGTGTGGAATGGAGAAGGTGAACTTGGACCAGCCTACAGGCTTTGGGGATGCATGGCCCATTTTCGGGGCACTTACTTATTCCTGAAATGAGGCTCAGCCCAACCCAGGTTGAGGGGAGAATTGCAGGTGTCTCACAGGCCTTGGGACCTGCTCCTCCCCTCCTGTGGGGCAGGCTAGAGCCCCATTGCTTCTCCTGCCCCTGTGTGCACCCCGCCCCCCACTGTTCTCCGGGACAAAGATGTTTTATATCTTAGAAATAATTTTACACATATGGAGGTAAAAGCTGATGCAGACACACACTCAAACCAGGGCAGATAAAAATTTCTCTTTTTATGTACGTACTCTGCAAACCAGAAGACCACAGTGAACATGTGTGCATCCAAAATAAAATAAAGCTACAGTTTCTGTTATTCTGGTAGGAATCAAGTTAAATAGATAATGACTACTTATAATTGAGTTACTCCAACAGAGAGCTTAACCTTAATTTGACAAGCAAAGCTTCACAGAGTCACCGTTTTATTATAAGTACCCCAAAAGCCATTAACGGCTGCTTGGTGGCTCCTTCTCTTTGACTGAGTCAGCTTACCAGCAGCCCCAAACATCCAGATTCCAGAAGGAGCGATTTGTTACACAGTAATTAACTTATTTATGATAAATGGATGGAAGAAATGTCGTGGCATTTTGTTTTACGTCTAAATGAAAAGCATTTGCATTCTAAAAATTTCATGCTAATTAGACTTAAAATAGTTTTCCCCAATAGGGCAGCAAATACTGTGGTATTGTGAACCTTGCAAGCAGCAGAGCCTCTAAGTACAACAACGCGGGGCGTCCGTTGGGCTGATTTGTAGCGTTCCCAGATGGCCTCCGCGTTGTGTTTACTATGCGTGCTTTTTCTGGCCAGCTCGTGAACTTAGCCACGTTCTGTTAGCTGTAGTGTTGTTTTCAGGATCATTCACTTATGGCCATGATCACTGGTGTGTGGTAATATCTAACGTAGGATGGTTTAGCTGTTTTCCTTAGGCCAAGACGGAACGTTCTGTGAGCCATAGTTTAGTGTGGGGCAGTTGCTGAGCTGGTGTCTTTTTCTCGGCTTTGTTAATAATTAATGATCAGCCCGGCAACTGATTCGGTGACCCACATTGCTCTCTTGTGGCGGGCAGAGTTCTGGAAAACCCAGACCAGCTTCGCGGCAAAACCGCCCCCCTGGATGGGAGAGTGATAGGCCGTATAGTGGGCACCCGGGACGCGTGGGTACTGTCTCCCCTGGGTCCTGGACAGGAGGCGGCGTGTGAGTAGAAATGTCTGCTGGGAGCAGGAGGGAGTTGGGTCTGGACGTTACCTGGGGAGGGTGGACTCAAATAATACAGAGAAGAGAAGAGCACTGTTTCTGATGACTTCCTCAGAAAAGCTTTTGTGCTAGGGCCGTCGTGTGCACCCCCAACCACACTCTGCTTTCTCCTCAGAGAACTTCTGTTCTGTGGGCAAGCATCTCTCTCAGTTAAATGGTAAGGTTCATGAGGGCAGCACCTCTGGCACTCTGCTGTACTGTTTTAGATCATTTCAGGATGTGTTCAGCCAATAGGATAAAACCCCATTACCAGAATCTTAAATGAAGGGGGGTTAATTTTTCTCATGTCACAGTGAAGAGAGAGATGGTCGGGGGCTGGGACAGCTTGTGAGCGCCATTATCACTCACCTGATCTTTATTCTACCATCTTTAGTTTGTCAGCTGTTTATTGCCTCGTCATTGTAAACTAGCTGCTGTGGCTCCGGCCATTGCATTTGAGTTTGGAGCAGGATAAAGGAGGGAGTAGTGGCACCATTTGCATCCCTTCCCTGTATCAGGAAGGCAAACACTTTCTCAACATGCTTGCAGTTCTCCTTGGCTAGAACTAGGTCACATGCCGCTCCCAGCAGAAAGGGGCGGGGAGGCTGGGAAGCAGAGAATTGCGTTGTCGTATTTGGGTTAGAGCTATTATGATCCACCACCTGGTAGATCCAGCTCCTTGGAGCAAGTAAGATTCTGTTTTAGGAAGGAAGGAGGGAGGAATGGATATGGAGGAGACAAGCATGGGTGTCTGCCCTTTAAGGCTTCTGCTTCCAGCACCCTCCCTGAATGCGTGGTGGAATGAATGATTCATTTGCATACCAAGGCGCAGAGAGGGAGGGATGGTGGAAGAGAGTCCACATGCAGGTGTTTGGAGTCAGCATATAAGAATTGGCCACACATAATCGGCAGGGCCGGAAGTACCGTTATCTTGGCAAGTATACTGAAAATAGCCTCTTTGCCCACCAGAGTTTGGCTTGACCCACCCCTCTGCAGACAGGTCACTCTTGCCAGGGCAGAGGCATCACCAGATGCAGGGCAAGAGGCTAAGCCAGTCCTGCTGCCGATCATGCCTAACCGCGGTGTGGTTGCCGTCAGTGACAGTCTCAAATGAAGTCATGAATGAGCCCGAGAACGTGGCCGCTGCGGTGCGTCTGGGCCCCCTCGGTTCCCTCGCGGGGAGCGGGGCGCTAGCGAGAAACCAGCCTCACGTGCTTTGAAGCAGTAGACACCGCAGGCTGCCTGTGCCTGGTCCATTCTCACCCTCTTCCTCACTGACACCTCTTCTGTGCTGACCCGTTTGGCATACGCTGAGTCCTGTTGAAGATGCTCACACGTCGGGTAGACTCTCTTAGGCCGAGGTGGCAATACGGCCCCGTTCTGGTTAGTAGGATCTAATTAGGTTATTCTGTTAGACGAGGCTTCTGGGAAAGGTGTTTGTTTGTTTGTTTGTTTCTCCTTTCTTTCCTCCTGGTAGAGAGGAACCTGTTCAGCTGGTCATGCCTTCTGCCTTTTGCCCTTCCCTCTTCCTCCTTCCTGGAAGACAGATGTGATGTCTGAGGCAGAGCAGCAATCTTGTGACTGTGAGGATGGTGCAGCGGGAACTGTATCCTAGGTGGCAGGCTTGAACCACATCCAGATAACCTCCGGGCTCATTGTCCCCCTAAGAGGTGAGAGAAGCAAGGCTAAAGTACCACAGTTGAGTTTTTGTTCTTTGTGGCGCAGTGCAATCCCAGATTCGGGAAGCAAGCACTGTGCACAATGGCAAGTATCTGCCCTTCCCTCTGGAAGCTTGGAACACATTTCATCCTCTGGCTTGAACCCAGGTTTGGGGCGGCCCTTCTACCCATCCTTTGTTCCTTGGGCCTTGGCCTTACTCTGGCTTTAGCGTCCTCTGCTCCTCGTGGACTAGAATCCACGTGCAGCGCCCCGGATCACGGAGAGCGCGCTGTGGGCACTCGGTAAGTATTTGCTGAGCAGATGAAATGAGCAGTCAACCACGTTAG